TAAAGTTAAAATCATAAATAATATTCAACATTAAACTGGTACACAATTAAAAACATTTTAATTAGGCCTATAGGGCCTTCAAAAAATTGAGACTCTACATGTTTCGGCGTTACAACTCCTGTGGATGACAAAACCTTGTCCAAACGTTGTACATTTGCTGTTATGTTAAACTTATATTAAAGTTTTTCTTCATTACCCATTCAAGCCGTCTCCAACCATTATTAGTCTCAAAGTGGGTTCCTCGTCATCAAAGTAAGAAGTGTTTGGTTGGCTGGATTTCTGGGAATAAAGTTAATGATGTCAAGATCTGCAAGTCGATGTTCTGGTTGTAAGTTCACATTCTCTATTTCTTTAGTTACAGTGGTAGAGTTGTTTTGAGCAGAATTAAGAGAATATAGAATTGTGCACCTTCAAGTGGCTCAGCGGCAAGTCTGTGGGCTTATGATGCTACAAACCAGGTTTCGATATCCGTGGTAGGCACAGTACAGATAGCTCACTGTGTAGCTTTGCACTTAACAACAAACAAATAAATACAGAATGGTGGTGATATGCTTAACTGGTTAGAGAAGGGATAACCTATGCCACTGACGACTGAAGGAAGAAGGATTTCTGGTTTCTGTAACTTAGGTAGTCCATAGAATTGTGATTGTTTACTTCTGTTGACTTGTTCGGTTTAAACATATTAATGAACCTGTTAGTGGCATGCTCTAGTTCGTAAGTTGAGTCTTTGTTTTAATGAATTATATGTTTTGTCTTGAATGATGTCTTGCACTTTTCCTTATAGTAGTGTGGTTTTTTCCAATAGCTTATCAGCTAGAAGAATAATGGACGATGGGTCTGTTTAAGAATAAAGAAACAACAAAACCTTGCCATCCAGAAAGATCGGTCCTAAGAACATAACTTCAACACTGGACATTTTACCAGTTGGAATCAATGACAAGTACCCAACTCCTCACAACATGGGACTTATTACCATTAGGATACAATTAAATGTACTCAGTTCCTTACAACACGGGATATATTATCAATTGGAACCAGCAACAAATAATCAACTCCTTACAATATGGGATGTATTATCATTTAAAACCAGCAACAAATACTCAGCTCCTTATAACATGAGGCATATTATCATTTGGAACCAACGACAAATACTCAAATTCTCACAACACAGGACATACACTGACAGTCAAAGAAAATGCATGATGTTTTGTTTTAAATATAATTTTCCCCACGGTTGAAAATATCAACTTTCCATTCCCCATGTGAACTCCTGAGGCCCATTCAATGTGAAATGATCACTCCTTTACATTTTTGACATGCTTCATTGAATCCTGATCACCACATGTCAAATCTGCTCATTTCTGTGGTCTCCTATTGGGTGTTGTCATGCGGATCATGTGTAGGGGTGGAAAATGGAACTATATATTGTGCAACCTGAATATAGTTTGACATAGATAATACAGAATAATATAACAAATTTATCACTCAATGAACGTCACCATGCTATTGGTATGCTGGAAGCAGGTGCGAGCCAGTAAGAAATTGTACAGGAAATGGGATGCAATCAGTCGACCATTATGAGGCTGATACAACACCACAGCTTGACAGGCTCAGTTGATGACCAACAATGTCCAGGAAGGCAATATGTCACTACTCAACGTCAAGATAAAGCCATCCATCTGATGCACCTATGTGATAGATTCCGAACTGCTATTTAGACTGCACGTGATTCGCCGCCAGGACTACATGACCACTGTATTAGCAGTCCGCCTGTACACCTTTGCCTACGTCATGAGAAGTTTGATGCATGTAGACCTGTCAGGGCCCCAGACCTCATCCCGGCAAATCGCCAAACCAGGCTGCAGTGGTGTAGGCAGCATGAGATGGACCCAGAGAGACTGGAACACTATTCACTTCACAGATGAGTCACGTTTTTGTACTGAAGAGGCTGACAGACGTCAATGTATCAGGAGAAGATGGAGTGAAGATTATGCCAACTGGTGCATCAGACAGACCAATCGTTGGGGTGACCCTTGTGTCATGGTATGGGGAGGCTTTTCAGGCCACCAAAGAACACCTCTGGTAGACATCAAGGACAACTTCAATGCACAACGTTACGTCAACAATGTCTTAAGGCCTTCCCTTCCTCAGAGACCACCATAATATCACTTTTTTGTAGCAGGACAATGCTTGTCCACACTCTTCCCCTGTCACCACGGACTATCTCCAGGCAGAATACATACTTACGCTACATCTTTTACCCAAAACTCAGAATTCTGTACTCTATCTGTGATCTCTCACATTTCGATTCTTTTTTTACACATTTTAAGATTCCAGTCATCAACATGTCCATTACAGCTGCATGTTTTTCACGTACAAAACTAATTTGTCCTAATGAAGAACTGTGCTAGCAGCTCGAAACATTATTGAAAAGCTTGTAAGTTGGATGCAGTCTCCAACCACCATTAGAATTAATGTCATGTTGAAAACTGAGACTTTAGTATGATATTTGCAGTTTGAAACATTTACAAGTTATTTTGGCAGTTGTAGATTGTCATCTCTAACATCCCAGTAGTTTAGCGAATATCTATGTTATACCATAGTTCCACATTGGCTCAGCGATAAACCTGAAGATTTGTAGTATTAAAGGTCGAATTTTGATATACGTGGTGAGCACAGCACAAATAGCCCATTGTGTAGTTTTGTACTTAACAACAAACAAACTGTTATATTATAATAAAGCATTAATTCTTATTTAGAAAACTGTGAATCGATTTTCGCAGGTAATTTATTCTGGAACTGTTACCTTAGTCTCATAATCTGGTGTAAATTGCAATTTATTTAAACCTGTTCAATATACATTTACATCTTTCTTAAAGCAACATTGATTTTTTAGAAAGGTATTGTATTTCCTGTTTTCTGCAAAGGCTTAAAAGCTTAGCCCCCCCCCCCCCCCAGTGGCACAGCAGTATGTCTGCAGACTTACAATGCTAGAATAAGAATTTCGATACCCGTGGTGGGCAGAGCACAGATAGTCCATTGTGTAGCTTTGTGCTTAATTACAAACAAACAATAAAAGCTTAAGCAAACTAATCAAACTAGGGTCATTATTCTTTTTCCTCTGAATATAATGAAAATGTCAAAGTGCATAAACAAATATTTATTCCTGTTAAACTAGTACATTACAACTTACCAGCAACGTGCAGAGAACTCTAAAAGGGCAGGGGCTCATTAAAAAAACTGGACACTTATCAAACATCGTAAGACAAGCCTTTTTTTTTAGGGGGAGACTATGGGAAATGTGGGTTGCCTCTGGTACACATATGTTAAAAAGTCATGATAAGCAAAGAGATCCTCTTTTATTCCTATCTAATTGGTCTTAGAAAAACTCTGGATTCTATCATAGTAAGTCAGTAAATTTAGTGTTGACCCAACAGGGTGGGGGTAATAGAATTATGCAGTACATTTCTATTTATAACGTTTAAAAATATTATGAGCTTTGAAATCACAATGGCGCAGTCTATATTTTGACTATCTTCAGTAAGGACCATATATGAATTCTCTAAAACTGCCCTTGTAAGTCTTAAAAACTTTAATGAAGATTATTCAAATAATTATTTGGTAAAGTCGTTAAGTTGAAACATTTCGCATTAAAAATATAAAATGCCTTAAATAAAAAAGTTAAGTCTGTATACAAAAAATTAAAAATACACGTTTTCATAATGTTGTATATTTAACGATTGAAAAAAAAAGGATTAACTTGATACTGCATGCATACTTATCTCTGTATATTTTTGTTTTTAAACCAAAAAGCCAATACAATTAGCTATCTGTGCTCTGTCCATCCACCATGGGGAATCGAGCCCCGGATTTTGATGTTTTAAGTCCGTATAGTTATTGATTACCCAATGGGGGGGGGGGCTGTAAGGGGTAAAACATCTATGAAAAAGAAAATGTAAGTTTGATAGCTCAACTCACCTACTCGTAAATTATCGTCACTGACGACGCCTGTGACTGTTCTGCAACTACTTCCGTCTCCTCCACAAACTCGACATTTGTCTTCTTTGGCGTTAGATCCAAGAATCATATCACATCCGACTGGCTAAGGTTTATATAAAAACTAATTGATATATGTTTATTTTTAATGGTAAATTTAGTTTTCCCACTCAAATAGAACATAATAACTGTGTATCATTGACAAATTCACGTGGTTTTTTTGTTTTTTTAAAGTTTTACACTTAGTAGTGATTGTGAAATATTGAAGGAAATAGCTTTTCTTAAAAATATACATATATATATATATACTCCCTTTGGCATTGACTAGCCTGTAACGTTTAGATGCAGAAAAAAAAGGAGAATTTCCAACGCAAAAATTATTTAAAAGTGGGGTAAAATAAAACATATATCAAACCAATGTTTTCTCACTTTTACCAATACCATTAGATGAAATTCATAGCCGTGTATGCCGTACTTAAAGTACCTTACAACTTCATTTTTCCATGAGTATTTTAAAATATATTGGTAGAACGATCTATTCAGGTAATTCTTCTACACCTTCGTGAATATTTTCTGCACTTCCTTACGTTATTCTCGTTAACCAGATGTCGAAATGCGCAAATCCTTTTACTTTGGTAAAGGTTACATACAGCAGTTGTTTCTCATAGGAATTTGCACCAACTTGGTTTTGTGTCTGTATTCACTCGCTAGTGGTGATACAAATACATGTACAGTTTGGTATAAGCTGGGGTTATATAATGTTTAATATCTTATTTGGAATGTTCGGTAACATAGGTAGCCCATAAACTGTGAAAACTAAACTCGAACCCTCTGGCTGATTTGAAAGTGCGGTATAATATAATTTTTACTGTTCACGTGCAGTACAAACGTCTGGAAAGATTCTCCAGTTCTAGCTTCCAGTTTTAGTACAAATAGTCAATAAGCTGGCCAGTTGTAAATAAACACTTCAGATATCACGCTCCATTTTTCATTTCATATATATGCAGGGAGGGTAACAACATTTGAATGAACTCAACTCTCTCATAGCATCTTAAAAATTATATTTTGCAGTTATAAGCAAGAGAAATGCATTGTTATATTTGTCGTATATACATACATGTATGCATATTGCTGTAATATGATTGTTTTTTTGTAATTAAGCACAAAGCTACACATGGGCTATCTGTGCTCTGCCCA